ACACAACCGCGGCCTGGACTCCTGCTCCAGGCCCAGACCCCTCACCTGCTCGAAGTGGAAGTGGCCAGAAACAGGCTGCCGCCCCGCACCACCAGCGCATGCCCGCACAGCTCCAGCCCCGCGGAACTCATCATATGCCCGCCCGCCGCGCCGCCACCCACGTGCACCGCTCAGCGCCTCTTCCAGCGGGCGCCGGCTAGTGACGTCACGCGCAGACGCAGCGCGGTGGCGTAGTCCGGTCCCGCCCCCGCGGGCGCGCCAGTCCCGGGCATGCGCAGAAGGCGCTCTCTCGCTTCACTCCCCCCCCATCCGGCGTTTGCGCTCTGCTGGTTCCAGTTGGTCGCGGAGCAGATTTGCCCGGATGGCGTACACTTGCTTGTTTAGTGCTCGTCTCTGCCTCCGGACCGGGCAGGGCCGGTTCTGGGTCTCTCTCCGCCTGTGGCTGGGCGACTTGGCTCTTAGTAAATATTCCTTCAAGAAACGAGAGGGTGTGGGTTGGTATCCGGGTCCGGGACGTGGTGTCGGGTGCGTTCGGAGGAGGGCTCCGAGCTGAGGTCGCTGGAGGGAGCCCGCGTAAGCCCTGCACTTAGGTTAGCTGGACACGCCTGAAACGCAAAGCCTCTCAGCTGCTATTTCTCAATCCAAGATGGGGCTCTTTTCCAGGGAGTCACGCGGGATGATTTCTCGGGACTCGCCGCCCCCACATGCCACACTGTTCATCTAATCACTTAAATCCTTCTGGACGCCCCATCTCCATGGCCTCCGCCACGGCACAGACCACAGCAGTCCCGCTGCTCGCTGGTCTCACGTCTGCCTCGTCCCTCCCACGGACCCCACAGACCCACTTTACACGCTGAAGCCAGAGAGAGCTTTATCAGAACACAATTCCAACCACTCCATTCCCCTGCAGAAAATCAACAAGAGGCTTCTCGTTAGCCTTAGTACATAATTCAAATCGTAATCTTCCGCTATGAAATACATATGATCTGGCTCCTACCTACACCGCAGCCCCATTCCCTACCAGGCCCGGTTCGTTGTCTGTGCTCTAGCCCTGACTGCCCCTCCAGTTCATTGGCACAATGCGCTTACTAACCACGGGGTCTTAGCACGTGCTATTCTTTAGCCAGAAATGATCTCCCCACACCCTGTCACTTTACTGCCCCTAGTTAATTACATCACCCCATTTCACGCAGTGGAGACATCACTTAATCAGGAAAGCCTTTCCTGACTCTCCATTATCTCCATCTGCAGCATCTGTTAATCTGTTTAATGTCTGTCTCCAGGCTACAAATGCCATGAAGGCAGGGACTGATTCCGAAGTTGGTGGGTCCCCAATGCCTCAGCTTGCAGCACAGCACCGGGCATGAAGTCAGAGCTCAATTAATATTTGCTAAATAAATAAATGGAACAACTAATCGACTGTTTTAAAGGATCACCTGTTTTTCCATAAGAGTGAAAGAATTATGATAGGCATGAGGCATAGGAAACTAGAACGCTGACCCAAACCCCACCTCCGATTTGACTCAAGGATGAATTTACACCCAAACATTAAGGTAGCTGTTTCTGGCAAAGTGGAATGCTTGGGAAAGCTGGGCTTCCTTAAAGGCAATGGGGTTAAAGGGGCCTTCATGGAGGCAGAAGATGGAAGACAGTCTGTTTATCACAGAACAAAGAACAAGAGGACTGGCGGAGTAGGGAGGAAGGGGCAGGAGCAAAGCAGACAGCTCACAGAGCCAGCGCGAGGGAGCTTCAGTGGAGGGGCTGACGCTGGGCAGTATCCAGTGGAAGCAGGAGCCTTCACGGTGTTTCTGAAAATGAATCTGCTATAAACATCATTTCTATTCAGCTAACTCAGCTGGCACAGTGAAAGTCCATACTTTTGGTCTGGGGTGTTTTCCAGGCACGCAGGTGAATTTACAGTTTCTATTTTGGGTAGGAGAAGAACCAAGACCACAGAGATCCTAGAAAGGGGCCTCCAGGCATCAACCAGGCTCGAGCAAATTACGCTTCCTTTACAGTCATGATTGACATAAGATGTTCCATAAAACACATTCTAACAGATACAACTAACTGTAATATGCCGTTTTAAACTGGCCGTGAAGCTTCACTGCCTTCACGTGACAGGTTACAACCTTGAGAAAGAACTACAATTTTTGTGTAGTTGGAGACCAAATAATAAAGATTTACGAGGAATCGTGCATTACATCACAAGACAGAGCACGTACAAATGAAAACTTAAAAATCTGTGCTTCTGTCAGATGTCGGTGAAACTTAATCATTTTGGTCTTTTTGAGATGATAAAATCACACTTTGAATTCTTACAGTACTTGTGCCAGCAAGTTTTATTTTCCTCCAAATCTTTTTTTCATCAAATTTCATGATAACCTATACCTTATCTTTTTAATCCTAATGAAGTCTAAATTGAAATGTTTTCCAGCTTATTTTTATTTTCACAGTCTTCCCTTTTGTGTCTCTTGGGGGTGCTACTTAAATTTATTTTATTGTATGCTATCTGAGGTTAATGCGTGTCTACAAAGATACTATTTAAGTGACTTTTATCATTAGCACTGTTATATATAAGTAAACTATAATTATCAACATTAATATGATGCCTTGATATTTTACTATCTAACTTTTTTTAGCTTATTACCCAAAACTCACTGCTCAAATTTTAGTTCTGGATAATTTGGCTGTTTTTTTCCTTAAATTTCTTAATGTGGCTAGTTAAGTTATAACCACATTTTCAATTCTCTGAAATTTATAAAACAATGAGGACATATTTACATTTACAGCTTAGATAAAAATGGAGAGTCATTTGGTTTTCTACCATCTGTCTCAGTAATTTCCTCAAAGGAGTTAGCAACGTTATTTGGTTCATTATCCATTGCTGTAATAATGCATAACAAACACAGAATTTGGGGGCCTAAAACAATAAGCATTTAGTTAGCTCATGATTCTGCGGGTTGACCATTTGAGCTGGTCTTAGTTGGGTGGTTCTGGTGTTGCCGGCCTTGGCTCATGGGTCTGTGGCCTGCCACCTGGTTAGAAGAACTAGCTGGTCTAGGATGGCTGGGTGGCTCATCTCTGCTCTATCTGGTCTCTCACCCCCAGAATGGTACTAGACCTTATCTACACGGCAGGCACGACGGCAGGCACGACCAAGGAAAAGTCCGCAAAAACCTCACGAGGTCCAGGGATGGAGCTGGTGCACTGTTACTTCTGACATTCTGTTGGCCAGAGCAAGTCACAAGGGCAATGAGATCCAAGGGGTGGGGAAGGAAACCCCCCTCCTGATGTGGGGGCTGCAAAGTCACATCAGAAAGGGCCTGGAGACCGGGGCAGAGTAGGGGGAAGGGATAAATTGGGAGTTCGAGATTTACAAATACTAGCTACTATATATAAGATAGGTTTAAAAAAACAAATCTCTTCTGTAGAGCACAGGGAACTGTATTCAATATCTTGTAGTAACCTATAATGAAAAAGACTATGAAAATAAATATATGTACATATATGCATGACTGAAACATTACAGTGTACACCAGAAATTGACACATTGTAACTGACTATACTTCAATTAAAAATAATAAATAAACAAATGTTTAAAGAAAAAAGACAAGAAGTGATAGGATTCACTGTACTATAGCAACACTACTAGGTATTTGAAAATAAAAGTTTGGTAAATTAAACTGGGGGAAAAAAACGCCTAGAGAAAGGGATGGGTGGAGAACTGAGGCCAATTCTGAGTCAAATCTACCACAGCCCATTCTCTGGCCTCAGTCTCTCCAACTGAAAAACACTCACCTCCTCCCAAGGTCCCCCAAAGTCTCATCCAATCCCAGCAGCAGGCTCAAAGCCCAGGGCCTCGCGGTCTGTACCAGGTTAATGCTGCTCCTCAGGTGTGGCCTCTCTCAGTCAGAGACCTGCAAACTAAAACCTGAGATGCCTGCCCCACATGCCAACGAGCAATGGCGAGGGGCGGCAGGATAACCATGATACACGCTTCCGTTTGCAAAGCGGAGGAATGGGTTGCACAGAGCGATCGCTGCATCCCAGAAATTCTGAAATCCACTGGGAAATGTCTACAGAGCACACAGGGGTAGAAAGTGTCCCCTGATGAGGTGAGTCTGCTTGCTGGGAGAGTTTCCCCAAACTGTAGCCCAACATGACCCTCATCTCTGCCCTCTGGGATAGCACCCCCTTTTCCAGCATCCTCTTGGTCACTTTGGAAAATGTGCCCTTTGAGTAACTCTTGACCTCTGCCTGCCCTTAGCAAGTGGGGGCCCAGAGGCCTTTTTTCTCTTCAAACAGTCCTGTCCCCTTAGGCCAGCAGGTGGTTCTTTGTTCAATACAACTCCCAGAAAGCTTTGTGGGGAAATCAGCATGGTGGCCAAATGAGACATCCTTCACTGTGTCCCCCAACTCAATAACAAAAATTTAGCGTCCATTCACAGACAGAAGTGCCATTGTAGGATGTGGGATCCAGCACCATATACCAGGGAACCCACGTGAGTCCTGTCCACCCAAGTCTTGGGTAACAGACACCCAGATGCCAGCCTCAGCTGTGGAGCCTGCAGTGGCCCATGGCCTCTTGACCATGGTCTGGGAGCTGTCTTAGACAGTCACCCATGAGTAGGAGCTTGTGTGGGAGTCTGGATTTCCAGTGGATGAGTTCTAGCACATAATTAAAGCAAAAAAGAGAAAAAGATGCAAGTTTGGATGCAATGGAGAGGGTAAGAGAAACAGTTTGACATTACCCGCATCACTCCAAGGCAACACAGCTTAGGGCCAAGAGAGAGACTCTCAGCCCATGACTTCTCCCACAGGGGGAGTGAGAGCATGTGAGCGAGAGCCCGGCTCCCCGGATGTGCGAGGTGCCGCCAAAGAGATCTCTTCCTCTCTTGCCTCATTCAGAGTACTGAATCATGAGCTGCGTAGCTGCGGGACAGGAAGAGGCTGGGAGAGCAGAAGACAGGACACTCAGAGGGCATTACAGGGATGCTGACACTGCTGGCTGCGCTGCGGACTCCATCTAGACACACCTCGCCCGTGGATCTCCCAGCTGGCCCCAGTGCTCAGTGTGCCTCACCCCCACACACTCCCACCGTGGGGCCAGCTCCCTGTCTGCACTCCCAAAGGCAGTGAGAGTGTTTTTGTAAATGAATAGTGAACACTCATAGAGAATGGGCCAAGGAAAGACCACAAGCCTGAGCTTTTGTACCACCTCTGGTGAACAACCGGGAGGCTGTGAGCACTCCCCCAGGTGCACTGCAGGATGGGGAGAAGGCACACATGCTTAAGAATTCTGCCACAAGAGAGAACAAGAATGTGGAGGAGGCATATCCACAGAAGGGCTGACGAAGTCTCAGACTCGCTCACAAGGTGGATGGACAGTATCTCTCTCCCAAAGGCAGTTAGTAAAGACCAGAAGAGGTGGTTGCTACCTCAGATGCAAAGATCGCAACATGAAACCTCAAGGAATGTGAAAAATCAAGGAAACAGGACACCACCAGAGGAGCACACTAATCTTCCATTCCAAAGACATCTATGATTTACTTGATCAAGAATTCAAAATAACTTTTTAAGGAAAGTCAATGAGCTATAAGAAAACAAAGAAAGGAAATTCAGTGAAATCAGGAAAACAGCACATGAACAAAATGAGAAGTTTCACAGAGACAGAAATCGTGAGAGCCAAACAAAAATTCCAGAGCTGAAGAATACAACGAATGCAGTGAAAATCCATCAACCACAACATGGACCAACCAGGCGAAAGAATCTGTGAGTCAGAAGGCAGGATCTTTGAAATATTCCAGCCAGTGAAGAACAAAGAAAAAGAATTAAAAATGTGAGTGAAGAAAGCCTATGTGATCTATGGAAAACCAACAAAACAGACAACTGGCAAAGTACCGGAGGTGCAGAGGGAGAGGCGGGTGGGGTGGTAGAAAACCTATTTGAAAAAATAATGGCTGAGAAAGATTTGGGCATCCCAGTTCCTGAAGCTCACAGGCCACCAAACATACTCAACTTAAAGAGATATCCAGGATACATTATAATAAAACTATGAAAAATCAAAGACAAAGAGAAAAATTTTAAAAAGTGGGAAGAGAAGAGACGCTTGTAATTACAACCCGTCCCCAGAAGGCAGTCAGCAGACTGCTCGGCGGGCTGGTCTTACAGACCAGGGAAGAGGGGGGCGAACATTCAAAGTGCGGGAAGGGAAAACTGCCAACCAAGAACACTCTATCTGACAAGGCTGTCCTTCAGAAATGAAAACAAAATAAAGACATTCCCAAACAAAACTGTTGAGGGACTTCATCGCCACTAGACCTGCCTGCAAGAAAAGCTGAAAGAAATTCTTCAAGCTGAAATGAAAGGATGCTAACTAGTTACATGAAGACATATGAAAATACACAACACAATGGCAAAAGTAAGTAGATAGTCACATTCATATTACTCCTAACACTGTAACACAGAGCTATGGTAACCACTTAACTTGAGTACAAAGCTTAAAAAGAAGAGTACTAAAAACAACTACAGCTGCAATAATTTGTTAATGAGCACACAATTTAGAAAGGTAAATTGTGACATCAAAACCATACAGGGGAGGGAGTAAAAGGGTACAGCTTTTGTATGCAATTGAGTTAAGTTTTAATCAGTGTAAAATTGCTCTATCTAAACAAAGTTTTATGTAAGTCTCATGGTAACCACGAAGCAAAAACCTACAGTAGATTCACAAAAGAAAAAGAGAAGAGAATCGAAGCGTATCACTGCAGGAAAGCATCAGTTCACAAAGGAACAGAGCAAGAGAGGAGGAAAGAAACACGGAAACGTCAAAACAGCCAGAAAATAATTAATAAGACTGCATTAATAAGTCCTTACCTACCAATAATTACTCTAAATGTAAATAGATTAAATTCTCTAATGAAAGGCGTGGAGTGCGTGGATGGCTAAAAAAATAAGACCCAACTATAGCTGGGACACACTTCAGCTTAAAGGGCACACATAACTTAAAATGAAGGGATAGAAAAAGAATTTCCATGCAAATGGAAACAAAAAGAGAGCAGGATAGCAATCCTTATACAGAGAAGAGAGACTTTAAGCCAAGAGCTGTAATAAGATACAAAGAAGATCATTCTATAATGACAAAGGGGTCAGTTCATCCAGAAGCTGTAACATACGTCTGTATGTCATAGATACAGATATATACCCACCCAACACTGGAGCATCTAAATATATTAAGCAAATACTAACGGATCTGAAGGGAGAGATGGACAACAGTACAGTAACCACGGAGGGACTTCAGTACCCCACTTCCCACAGCGGCAGGTCATCAGACAGTAAACAAATGAGGAAACGCTGGACTGTAACTTTAGGCCCCACTTGGCCTAATACACACACACAGAACATTCCATCCAACAGCAGCATTCTTCTCAAGTGCACAAGGAACGGCCTCCAGGATAGATCACGTGATAGGTCACGAAACAAGCCTTACAAATTGAAGAAGACTGAAATCATACTAAGTATCGTTTCCAACCACATTGTATGAAACTAGAAATCAACAACAGGAAAAGAGCTGGAAGTTCCACAAATACGTGGAAATTGAACGGCACACACCTAAACAGTCAATGGGCCAAATGAGAAATCAAAAGGGAAATCAAAAAATATCTCAAAATAAATGAAAATGGAGACGCAATACAGCAAAACTGAAGGTATGCAGCGAAAGAGCACTAGAGGGGGTGTACAGCAGTCAACACCTACATTTAGGGAAAAGAAAGACCCCAGATAAACGACCTAACTTTGTATCTCAAGGAACTAGAAAAAGAGCAAAGCTCTAAGTTAGCCTGAGGAAGAAAATAACAAAGATCAGAGCAGAAGTAAATAAAATAGAAACCAGAAAAACAACAGAAAAGATCAATAAAAACAAAGAGCTCGTTTTTCAAAAGATGAAATTGACAAACCTTAAGCTAGACTAAGAAAAAGAGAGAGAGAGACAGAGAGAGGGCTCACATACATAAAATCAGAAGTGAAAGAGGAGACATCACAACCGATACCACGGATGTATGAAAGATCACAAGACCCAAAGTAATAGGCAAGAAATGGATAACCTAGAAGAACTGGACAGACCCCTGTAACGTACAGCCTGCCAGGCCTGAGTCATGACGAAGGAGAAGAGCTAGACAGACCAACACCAAGAGAGGGGGCGGAGCTGCGACAAGGCTCTCGCAAGCAAAGCAGGTACGTGCTGGCACTAAAATAGACACACAGACAAACAGAGAGAACCCAGAGCCAGACGTACACCCACGCATGTACGGTCAACCCGCGTTTAAGAAGGGAGCCTGAATGCTCATGGAGAAAAGGTGGCCTTTCAATAAACGGTCCTGGGATAACTGGATACTCACACGCAAGAGAATGAAACTGGACCCCTGTCTTACACCACCCACAAAAACTAACCCAAAACGGATTGCAGACTTAAACATAAGGCCTGAAATCATAAAACTCCTAGAAGAAAACATAGAGAGAAAGCTCCTTGATATTGGTCCAGGCAACGATCGTATGGCTATGACACCAAAAACACAGGCAACAAAATAAAAAGTAAACAAGTCAGACACATCAAACTAAAAAGCTTCTCCACAGCAAAAGAAACAACAAAATGAAAAGGCAACCTACTGAATGGGACAAAATACTTGCAAATCATACATCTGGTAATGGGTTAATATCCAAAATGTATGAAGAACTCATACCACTCAACAGCAGAAAAATAATCCAATTAAAAATGGTCAAAAGACCCGAAAAGGCATTTTTCCAAGGAAGATATTCAGAAGGCCAACAGGTACACGCAAAGGTGCTCAACATCACTAATCTCCATGGAAATGCAAATCAAAACCACGGTGAGATACCACCTCGCGCCGGTTAGAATGGCCAACATCGCGAAGACAAGAGACAACAAATGCTGGTGGGCATGTGGAGAAAGGGGCCCCTTGTGCACTGTTAGTAGGAACTTACACTGATGCAGCCACCGTGGGAAACAATGTGGCAGTTCCTCAAAAAACCAAAATAAAAGACAGAACTGTCATATGACCCAGCAATCCTGCTTCTGCGTATAAATCCAAAGGGCAAGAAATCACTCTGTTGAAGAGGTATCTGCACCCTATGTTCACTGCAGCATTATTTACAGTGTCCAAGACATGGAAATAACCTTAGTGTCCATCAACAGATGGATGGATAGAGAAAATGTGTTATATGCAGTACCGTGGGTGGACCGTGAGGACATTATGCAAAGTGAAATGTCGGAGAAAGACAAATACTGTATTATCTAATTTGTATGTGGAATCTAAAAAAAAAAACAAACCCAAACTCATAGATACAGAGAACAGATGATGGCTGCTGGAGGTGGGGATGGGAGTTGAATGGGTGAAGAGGTTCAAGAGGGACAAACTCCCAGTTATAAGATAAACAGGTCCTGGAGACATGACGTACAGCCTGTGACCATAGTTAATGATACTGTATTGTTAATAATACAGCACTGCAGGTTTGAAAGTTGCTAAGAGAGTAAATCTTGAAAGTTCTCATCACAAGAAAAAAAAATTTGCATCTATGTGTGGTAATGGGTGTTAACCAGACTTACTGTGGTCATCACCGCACACTATAGACAAATACTGAATCACATTGTACACACTAATATAATGTTATATGTCAACTGTATTTCAATAAAAATTAACATTTTATCGATGAGAGAAAAGAAAGAAAATGTAATGTGTATATTATTCAGCCAAAAAATAAGGTAAATTCTGCCGTTTTACAACATGGATGAACCTAGAGGCAAAATAAGGCAGACAGAAAAAGATGAACACTGTATAACCTCATTCATATGTGGAATCCAAAATGCCCTACTCACAGAAACAGAGCAGACTGGCAGCTGGTGGGAATGAGGCTGGCGGGTGGGAGTCGGGGGGAAATGGGTGAAAATAGTCAAAGGCTACAAACCTCCAGTTCTAAGATGCGCAAGTCCTGGGTGTGTGATGTCCAGCATGGTGACCACCATTAACAATACTGGGTTGTATACTGGAAAGATAACAGAGTATATCTCAAAATTTCTTACCACAGTTTTTTAAGACGTATACCTATGTGAGTGAAGGAAGTGTTCACTAACCTTATGGTGGTAATGATTTTGCAATATATACACCTGACCCTTGAACAGCTCAGGGGTTAGGGGCGCTGATCCCGTGCTCTTGAAAACGCATGTCCAGCTATCTCTACCTGAAAAACAAAGGAACTGATAAAGGACTCCCCCCAGGGCAGGAAGCCAACACGGTGTGGACAGAATAGGGCTCAAACCCTAGGTCTTCTGAGTCCACATACTAGGATCTCTAATCGAACACAAACTTCTCCCCACACTTAGTTGAAGATCTGTAAAGCGAAAATACAGGTACTCAATATATTGAAAAAAGTTCACCATCAGTGAACCCCTGCAGTTCAAACACTGTTGTTCAAAGGGCCAACTGTTCATATAGCAAATCATCACATGATACACCTTAAACCTGCACAATGTTTTGTCAGTTACGTCTCTATAAAGCTTTGACAATTTCTCCATTAAAAAAATAGTGTCACTCCTAATCTCCCATTCGGTGTTTTTTTTTAATTTTGGGGAGGGAGGTAATTAGGTTTACTTCTTCATCTATTTTTGGAGGAGGTACCGGGGACTGAACCCAGGACCCTGTGCATGCTAAGCATGCTCTCTACCACGTGAGCTACACCCTCCCCCCATTTGGTTTTGACACAGGTCATGGGTTGAATTATGTTTCCCCCAAAGAAGACATGTTGAAGTCCTAACCCCCAGGAGCTCAGAACACGACCTGATTTGGAGAGAGGGTCTCTACAGAGGTAATCAAGTTACAATGAGGTTTTTAGTGCAGGCTCTAATCCAACATGATAGGTGTTCTTATAAAAAGTAGAAATTTAGACACACAGACATGCACAGAAGGAAGACTCCGTGAAGATACACAAGGAGAACACCTTGCAAAGACGGAGGCAGGGTTTGGACAGATGGAGGGAAACCAAGGAATATCGAGGACTGCTGGCCACAAGCTAGGAAGAGGCAAAGAAAAGATTCTACCCAGAGTCACAGAGGTTGAGGGGCCCTTCTGACACCTTGATGTGGGACTCCAACCTCCAGAACTGTGAGACAATACATTTGGGGGGGGATGTAATTAGGTTTACTTATTTATTTTTAGAGGAGGTACTGGAGATTGAACCCAGGATCTTGGGCAAGTTAAGCGTGTGCTCTACCTCTGAGCTATACCCTCCCCCCGAACTTCTGTTGTTTAAAGCCACCCAGTTTGTGGCATTTGGTCACAGTAGCCCTAGCAGACTAATGCAACATACATGTTCATTTTGGGGACAGTGGTGTCCTAACAACTGAGTTCTTACTCAGTGGCAGCACTTAGCTACTCGAGTAGTGGGTAGTGACATTTGTTCATTAGAGGGTTGGAAAGTCTCCAGTAACAGTCCACCTGGTGAGCTGGGAGAAACATGAAGGCGTAGCTTCAAAGCTGCAGGCAGGTTTTATCCTGGCTGGCCCATCCGGAATGACTGAGAGCAGGGTTATAGCCACAAGATTCGTACACACAAGATCTTGCTGGACAAACCTACTCACCATTTCAGGGGACACAAAGACAGAATTTCTAGTAGCACTATTGGAATCTATATCTTTTCCATTAAAAAGTGGGCAGCTAAAACCATCATATAACTTTGGAGCACCAAATGCAACAAAGTATTTGTGGGTTTTTTAGCTCATCGAAGTATATTATGAAATATTTCTTACAAATCAAAAACACACATGTTTGAGAGCAAATGCTCACATACCCACAACACATCTGAAGAACTAATGTTAACTGACAGAACTGAAGCCCCAGACCTCGTGCAGACCTCACCCCAGCCCCCCAGCGCCCTCCAGAGGTAGCCACTATCCTATTCTTTTGAGTGGCTTGTCCTTCTTGCTAATAAGCAGGAAACACTTTATGTATTTGGATACTAATCCCCATGAGTTAAATGATTTCCCAGCTTGTGACTTCTCATTTCACTTTTTTTCCCACCATTTAAAAAAAAAACTGAAGTAGAGTTGATCTACAATGTTGTATTCGTTTCTTGTCGTTTCACTTTTTGTAGTACCTTCTGCTAAAGAGAAATTTTGATTTATATATTTCTTTCTTTTTGGAGAGGGAAGTGATTCGGTTTATGTATTTATTTATTAACTTAATAAAGGTACTGGGGAGTGAACCCAGGACCTTGTGCATGCTAAGCATGCGCTCTACCACTGAGCTCCACCCTTCTCCTCCAAGAAATTTTAATATAGTTAAATAACCTGGAATGTCCTGGACCCTGGGACATAAGCGTATGTTTTAACCCCAAACTTGAGAAAGAAGAGGCCTTGAGACAGCTTTCCCCACCCGACACAGACACATTTCCTGTGGCCTTGCTTTGCTAGGTTTCTTTGCCAGCAGGCGGCTTTGCCCAGGTTCTCCCCATCACTGACGCGCAGATCTGCAAGGACTTCCTCTGGTGCTGTCCAGCCCACTCCCAAGTGCTCCGGGGCCAAAGTCTCGTCTCCTCCTCTCCTGACGTCAATTAGACCAAGGCCCTGGCTTACTGAGATCAGCAAACGCTCCCAGGGCAGGGCTGGCTTCTTGTGGTTTCTTGCTTCTCTGTTTCTTGGCCTCTGGGGACACACACTTCCTGGGTCCAGGACATTCCAAACTATGAAAAAAATGATCACACTAGACCAAGATAAGCAGCACTCACAGGAGTCTGGCAGACAGAAAACCCAAATCCACTCAGGAGAAATGCATGTTTAACCCAGGACTTGGGAACTCCCACAAAGAAGAGCCCAGAAACACGAGCTTCCAGTACAGGAGCCAGCAGAGACGGGAACAGAAGGGGCATGAGAACAGAACCCACCATTTGAAATTATGCTTGTAACGTTGTACCCAGCATCGCTACATGTTTTGTAACCCGAGGGTTTTCGTAGTATCTAGTGACTGACTACTGCCAGAGACAGACATCGTTACGCATGTTCTACAGCACAGTTTTGGGAACATCCGAAGTAACTATAACTTTCCTTATTCCCTTATTTTTTTCTTTACTAAAAGCCTTTAAATTTAATTTTCCTGTTGCTGAGCAATCTTTTTTTTTAGTTCTCTTTCATTAAAAAGAAAATTATCTTAATAACTTAGTAATATGGTCATCCTAAACTAGTTTTAAAACGACGTTATTGAAAGTTTTGTAAAAGTTCTGTAATTTTAAGACACAGAATTAAATTATATTAATTAACACAGGAAAACGCCATAATATATCTCCTTTGGGGCTTACAAAGAATGCATGTGTTAGATCAGAACGCAGACCTCGCTCATGCGTGAGGAAGGTGCGATCGCTGAGTATTTTAATTTTCCTCTTTAGCCGAAACACCTTCAAGCTCAGGACCCATCACTGGGTCCAAGTGATGCTCCAATTATCTAGTTATCTTAAAAAGAAGGTTAATTCACCCTTGAGTGGGGCGGGGGGTGGGTTCTAGTAGTTCAGATAGAATACTACATAATTAATTGAGGATTATAGACAAACATAGGATTTTGAGGTTTTGCCTAAAAATGTTGGGTCAGTACTCGCTAGAGTCCAGACAGGTGACAGGTGCCTGCAGAAAGACTCGGGCAAAGAAGTGACAACTGGAGGAACAACCCCTGCTCTCAGCAAAATCTAGTCTACAGTTTTCCAGCTGACACTACAATCTTCTCTCCACAAATATTCTTGAAACCACCGGCCTTCCTCCAGCCTCTGCTTGGTTTTTCTGTTTTCTATTTGCCTCTTGCACTTGGCCCTGTTGTTTCTGTTCCTTTTTGGCCAAATGCAGCGTCGGCCAGCATCTACCTCCACACAGAGCAGGTCCAGCTCCCCCACCCCCAGGCGTAGGCGCTGCTCTTAACACACTGTTGCCATAGTTACCTTCACATCCATAATCCTCTTGCTTCATTGAAAACCATTAAGATGCCCACCCCCCTCCCCAACCGGGTCACTCCCTCTGCAGCGCTGCCCTCAAGCAGGTGCCCCTCCTCAGGCTGGTGCCCCCACCTCCTTGACTAGGGGAGGTGTTTTCACTTGGTTCTTGAGTCTTAAGACCCCAGCTGGACATCTACGTTAGCTGACTGTGCCCCGAGGCTGGTGGGAGGGAACGGGGGCTCTGGATTCCTTGACGGACAGTGATGTGGACGTTCCAATTCTCAATCAGGGCCCCCAAGTGGCAGCTGTGGCTTATCCCCTTCAATTTTCTTCATCACCTGTAAGGTCAGCACAGTTCACAAAGACGAGCGAACACTTTTCCCCAGAGACAAGAGTTAATCTGGTTTGAGCAAAGCATGATTCTTCCATAGCATGTTTTCTTCCTGCCTCCTGTAGGGACAAGGACTCCTTTCTCATTATTACCCTAAGGCTGAGCTGTTGTCTTTGCCTCCCAGGGTGGATGGTGACAGGTCCCATTGCAGCCACTTGACTCCAGAGTCCCCTTTGACAAGGGTCTGGGGGTTACTGAACCAGCTTCTTTTGCCCGACGCACAGAAGCCAAATGTTGAGACGCCAAGGTTTGCGGCAGGCAGAGAAAAATTTATTCACAAGGCAGGGAAGTGAGAAGGTGGGTGAACAAATCTCAAATCCACCTCTGGAAGGCGAGGGGCTTGAGGCATTTACGAGATGAAGAAGCAGGCGGTGTCAGGTGTGGGGACAGGAGGCTTCAGGTCGGGAAAAGGTGAGGCACAGGCATATTTGAGTTACGTGTTACTTCATGGGAAGCACGTTAAAAAAAAATGGAGGCGCTTAGCATGACTGCGGGTGACGTTTTCTGCCCTCTGACCCCAAAAGGTCAATCATCACACACCTGCGGCTTCCACAGGCCCAGTTTTGGGGTTGGTGATCCCAATAGTCTTAGCCAGCTTGAACTGGACAGAAGCCCACCCCAAGTCCCTGGAAAACAAATGAAGCCCCTGTTCCTACGGTGATCCATACCTCAGAGGTGTTATCTACAGGGGTGGTTAAGGAGTCAAAAACAATTAAGGTAAGCTTGCTCAGTGAAGGCGGGTTAAAAGTAGAGGAGTTTTGAGCAAGCTGTCCCTTAGCTGCTGTTCTGTAAGACAAGCTCTAGAATTTCTGTTAGTCAGCAATTTCTGTTAATCCCACGGGGAAGCTTTTTTGTTAATCCTACGGAGCACGGTTCACGCAGCACCTGTGTTGCCCCGTTTTCCTGCCACCTGAATGAATCTCGCCTCAGCCCAGGTGGAGGGCCCCTCCCCGGCGGAGGTGAGATGTGGGCGCGCTCTTCTTGTATGGACTCGCTCCCAGCACCGGTATGGCGGGAGTGGGCGTGAAGACATGCGTGGTACGGAGAGGAGGAGGCCAGTGACTGACTACACCCACTCCCTGACTACGCCTAACTTGCGGCCCATCTGTGCACTGCAACCTATAAACATGCAGGTAGACTAAGAAGCTCGCATTTCTGATCTGCCCAGCTCGGGGACTAGTGCACTCACAGGCCAAGAGCGCGTCCACGGTCCCACCAGAGGTGGCCCTGCAGGATGACCACAGGTGACCACTCGGCCGGAGGACAGACACCCGCAATAACCACCTGAG